ATACTGGGAGGGAACTGGGAGGCACTGCAGGAGGACTGGAGGGGACTGGGAGCAATTGAGGAGGAACTGGGATATATATATACTGGGAGGGAACTGGGAGGCACTGCAGGAGGACTGGGTAGGGACTGGGAGCAACTGGGAGGGAACTGGGGAGGACTGGGAGGTACTGGGAGTAACCAGGTGGGGAACTGGGTTTATTTGGAACTGGGAGGAACTGGTACCACTGATCCCCCCCAAACTGGTTCCCCTCCCCATCCCAGTTCTGTCCATGGCGAGAGGGAACCCCCACCCTGGTGAGTGACTGGGACAAACTAGGACCAACTGGGAGGGGGGGGGCTGTACTGGGAGTGGGGTGGGGTCATACTGGGAATGGAGAGGGTCATACTGGGAGTGGGGGTGTAGTCCATACTGGGTTATACTGGGATGGGGGGCCGTACTTGTTTATAGTGGTATGGGGAGGTCCATACTGGTATGAGGGGGCCATACTAGGTTATGCTGGGGTGTGAGGGATCCATACTGGTTTATACTGGGATGAGGGCTCATACTGGTTTGTACCAGTATGGGAAGCTCATACTGGGTTGAGGGGAGCCCATAATGGTTTATACTGAGATGGGAGGGTCCATAGTGGGTCCATACTGGGTTATACTGGGATGGGAGTGCCTACACTGGTTTATACTGGGGTGGGGAAGTCCATACTGGTCCCTCTGACTCTTCCCCTCCCCACAGATGCCAACAATCCCTTCCAGTACGGTGAGTGGGGACCAGTTTGGGGGGACTGGGGGAACTGGCAGGGAATTGGGGAGGACTGGGAAAAAAACTGGGGGGACTGGTAGGGGTAGGGGGCAAATGGAGATGTCCCCAGGCGTGTCCCCAGGTGTGTCCCTCGGTGTGTCCCCAGGTGTGTTCCAGGTGTGTTCCAGGTGTGTCCCCCATTGTGTCCCCAGTTGTGTCCCCGGTGAATCCCCAGGTGTGTCCCCAGGTGTGTCCCAGGCTTGTCCGAAGGCGTGTCCTCAGGCATGTCCCAGATGCGTCCCCAGGTGTGTTCCAGGTGTGTCCCCCACTGTGTCCCCAGTTGTGTCCCCGGTGAATCCCCAGGTGTGTCCCCAGGTGTGTCCCAGGCTTGTCCAAAGGCGTGTCCTCAGGCATGTCCCAGATGCGTCCCCAGGTGTTTCCCGAGGTGCTTCCTAGGTGTGTCCCCAGCTGTCCCCAGGTGTGTCCCCAGCTGTGTCCCAGGTGTGACAGGTGTGTCCCTCCAGACTGGCATCACCTGCGTGTGGCCGGGTTGGGCGTGGCCGCCTTCCTGTGTGTCCTGGGCTTCATCGTCCTGCTCAGTGAGTGTCACCTGTGCCAACTGGGGGTGTCCCCAGTTTCACCTGGCGGGGGGAGGGGCGGCAATGTTACCTGCACGGTGTTTGTGTCACCTGGGGGGTCCCCAATGCCACCTGGGGGTCCCTAATGTCACCCGGGGGGTCCCTGTGTCACCTTCTTTGTGTCACCTGTTGTGTCCCCTGACAGGTGGGAAGTGCAAGTGCCGGAGCAAGGCCAGGTGGGACAGGGGAACACTGGGGGGACATTGGGAGGATGGGGGGGACACTGGGGGGACAAGGGGACACTGGGGACACAGAGGTGTCCCTGACCGTGCCCACCCCCCACAGCCACCAACGACACCCCCCTGAGATGTCACACCTGGTTGGGACAGGTGAGTGTCCTCTCCCCCCTTGGGGACATCTGGGGTACTTGGGGACAAGGGGGAGGGCACTGGGGACAAAGGGGGGACTTCGGGACATCTGGGGGACCTTAGGGACAATGGGGACCCCCCTAATCACCCCTCTTTTCACAGGAGCCGTCAGCACGTGCTGAGGTGTCCCCGAGTGTCCCCGAGTGTCCCCAAGTGCAGCGACACATGGAGGGTGGAGGGACGGGTTTATTTTGGGGTGGAACCCCCCAAAAACGGCCCAGCAAATGGGGAAAATGAATAAAAAAGGTTAAAAAAAAAAGAGGCAATTTGGTTCTTGGGGGGTGGTGGCACTTGGCGGACATCAGGGGGGACAGGGGACAGTGCTGGGGGGTGGCACGTGGAGGGGACCAGGTGACATGGGTAGATAGTGGCCTCAGGGACATCAGGGGGATGGTGGCACCAGGAGAGGACATCAGCTTGATGGTGGCTTTGGGGATGGTGGGTGGCACATGGAGGGGACACAAGGCCAATGGTGACATTGCAGTGACAGTGGCCTTGGGGACATAGGGTTGGGGGTGGCACATGAAGGGAACACAAGGCCAATGGTGACATTGTGGTGACAGGGGCCTTGGGGACACAGGGTTGAGGGTGGCACATGGAGGGAACACAAGGCCAATGGTGACACTGCGGTGACAATGGCCTTGGGGACACAGAGTTGGTGGTGGCACCAGGAGGGGACATTGTGCCAGTGGTGATACTGTGGTGATGGTGGCCTTGGGGACATCGGGGCATTGGTGGCACCAAAAGATGAAACTGGGCCAATGGTGACATCAGGTTGAAGGTGGCTTTGGAGTTGGTGGTGGCACCAGGAGGGGACAGGGGACATCAGGGCCATGGTGACACCAGGAAGTGACACAAGTTCAGTGGTGACATCAGGCTTGGCCTTGGGGATATTGTGGCAGTGGTGTCACCAGGAGGGGACAAGGTGAGGTGGTGGCCTTGGGGACATCAGGGCAGTGATGACACCAGGAGGGAACACGAGGCCAATGGGGTCATCAGGGGGATGGTGGCACCAGGTGCATGATGGTGAGAGGGATGATGTCCCCATGTCCCTCAGGTGACCAGGTCCATGGTCACGTGGTGTCCCCCCATCCCTCAAGTGATCAGTCCATGGTGACATGATGGTTGATGTCCCCATGTCCTCTCATGCCTCGAGGTCTATGGTCATGTGCTGGTAGATCTGGGTGGCCCCTTTGAAGCTAGAGGCCACAAGGAAGTGCCGTTGGCCAATGGTGACAGGGACAAAGGCACGGGGGGTGGGCACCAGCAGCTCCTGGGTGGGCTCCAGGTGCCCCTCGGGGCCCAGGCGGAACACGCGGCTCAGGGCAAAGTCGTTGCCCAGCAGGACGTAGCGGTGGCCACTCAAGGTCAGTGGCTGGAAGATCATCGACCCCCGAGCCGGGACCTGCTGGATCTCCCGGAACATGGAGCCCTCCCAGCGCATCACCTGGAAAGGGGGACAGTGGTGGGAGGTGGGTGGGGTGGGAGGTAGTATCATGGGATGGATTGGGAAGGGTAGTGCGATCATGGGGTGCATTGAGTTGTGTTGGGTTTTATTGGGTTGTGTTGGGTGGTGGAGTCATGGAATGGCTTGGGTTGGGTGGTGGGATCATGGGAAGGGTGGTGGGATCATGGGATGGATTGGGAAGGGTGATGAGATTGTGGGATGGGTGGTGGGGTCATGGGATGGGTGGTGGGGTCATGGGGAAGACGTTGTGGCACCCCATGACCACACGATGGTGATGGATGCCCACGGACCCATGATGTCAGTGGATCCCCATAACAACATGACCCTGGTGACCCCCGTAGCCCCATGACCCTGATGTACCCCCACAACCACATGAGCCTGGTGACCCCCTATAGCCCCATGACCCTGATGTACCCCTACGACCACATCAGCCAGGTGGACCTCCAGGGACTCCTGCTGACCCCATGACTACCCAACCTCGATAACTTCCCATAACCACACAACTCTGGTATCCCCCATGACCCCACGACCTTGCTGGCCCCCTATGGGTCCCTGATGACCCCCATGACCCTGATGACCCCCACGGACCTACAACTTTGATGGTTCCCCATAACCACGTGATGGTGTTGGACCCCAACAGACCCATGATGATGCTGGACCCGCATGACTCTGATGACTCTCATGACAGTGGTGGCCCCCCATGACCATATGACCTTGTTGATCCCCCATAGCCACATGACTCCTGGTATCCCCTATGGCCTCATGATGTTGCTGGACCCCCATGGACCCCTGATGACCCCCATGACCACATGATTCTGATGGCCCCCAATAACCACACAACCCTGATATCCTCCATGACCCTGGTAACCCTCCATGACCCCTGCCCACCCCTGCCCACTCCCCCGACCCCCCCCACCTTGGCGTCCCCCAGGAACCGTGTGAGGCACAGGAATACGTGTCCCCTCAGCCGGAAGTGCTTCGCCGCGTACACGTCGGGCACGTGGGGGATGTCGGTGTGGGGGGTGAAGACCCCCCCACTCCACCGGTACACGAGGGGTCTCCTGGCCCCTGAACACACCACGAGTGCTGGGCGCCCGCCCAGCTCCAGGAACTCCAGGTGGGTGTCGCGGTGCCACGCCCGGAGGGTCTGGTGGGGGTAGAAGCCGCGCCCACCCCACCGGAACACGGTGCTGGTGCCACCCTTGGAGCTGTCGGCCACACCCAGGTACAGGTGGCCCCCGAGACGGGCGGTGGCCACGGCGTGGGGGCGACGCAGCCGCCCCGCTCCGAGGCTCTGGTGGCGAACAAAGGTGGCCCCGGGGCCACCAGAGCGGCGCCAGACCCAGGAACCACCCCGGAGCTGGGCCACCACCACCAAGAGGGACCCACCAAGGGGCAGCGGGTGGCAGGCCACTGGAGAGGAGCCTGTGGGGACAATGGGGACAGTGAGGTTATGGGGGGTAAGGGGTTGGGGATGTTGGGGTGGTGGGGACAAGGCATTGGGGATTTTGGGGATGTTGAGAACATTGGAGACATCTCTATGGGACATTGGGGATGTTGGGAACACAGGGACATTGGGGTGGTGGTGACAGGGCTATGGGGACATTGGGATGATGGGGACAAGGCTATGGGGACACTGGGAACATTGGGGACACTGCGGATGTTGGGGTGGTGGAGACGTCTCTACAGGGACAGGAGCTGTCCCCAAGCTGGGCCACCACCACCAGGAGAGACCCACCAGTGGGTGACAGGCCACTGAGGAGGAGCCTGGGGGGACAGTGAGGAGGGGGAGGGGTGGGGGCAAGGGGTTGAAAACATCGGGGATGTTGGGGACATTGGGAACATTGGGGACACTGGGGACACTGGGAACATTGGGGACATTGGGGACATTGGGGACACTGGGAACATTGAGGTGGTGGGGATGTCTCTGTGGGGATGTCTCTATGGGGACACTGAGGACATTGGGGTCCCCACCACATGGGGTGGTGGGGACTGGGCTGTGGGGACACTGGGAACATTGGGGTTGGGGTGGTGGTTTTGGTCTCCTCCAGCCCATTTTTGAGGTCTCTCAACCCATTTTTTACATCACTCACCCCATTTTTCAGGTCCCTCACCCCATTTTTGTGGTCCGTTACTCCATTTTTGAGGTTCCTCACCCCATTTTTGGGCCCGCCTCGGCTGTTTTCGGGATCACCCCACCCAGGGTGGGTTTTGGGTCCCCTCAGACTCACTGTTGATGATGGTGGGGGCCCGGAACCTCCCAGCCAGTTGGTCCCACTCCAGGAGGGCGCAGGCACCGGCAAAGGGCTGGGCCAGGGCCACCCCCTGGTGCCCCCCTAGCGTGAAAGACTCGGCCCCCAGGGATGAGAAGGGCAGGGACTGGAATGGCCGGAGCTCTGGGAACACAGGGACATCATGGGGACACCATGCGGACAGCCCAATGCCACCCCCAGGGAAATGGGAACATCCTGGGGATACCCCACTGCCACCCCCAGGGACATGGGGACACCCTGGGGACACCCCAGAAACACCCCACTGTCACCCCTGGGGATATGGGGACAACCCCAAGGACACAGGACATGAGGACATCCTGGGGACACCTAAAGGAACATGGAGACATCCCAGGGACATTGCAGGGACATGGGGACACCATGGAGACAGCCCAATGCCACCCCCAGTGCCCCCCCCCCCGTGAAGGAATTGGCCCCCAGAGATGAGAAGGGCAGGGACTAGAACAGGCAGCGCTCAGGACACGGGGACACTGTGGGGGTAGCATGGGGACATCGTGGGGACAGCCTAGGCACAGCTCTGGGGGCATGGGGACACACTGGGGACACCCCCTGCCATCCCCGGGGACATGGGGACAGCCTTGGGACACTCCTGAGGACATGGGGACACCCCGGAGGACAAGCCCCATGCCACCCCCCAGGGACACAGGGACACCATGAGGATACCCTAGAGACATGCCCAGGGACATGGGGACACCATGGGGACACCATGGGGACACCCCAGAGACATCTCCAGGGATATGGGGACATCCCATGGACATTCCAAGGACATGAGGACACCTCAGGGACACCCTCAGGGACACTATGGAGACCTTCGGAGGACACTTTGGGGATACTTTTCTGTCACCTCTGGGGACACCAAGGGGACACTCTGGTTCCTTGGGGACACTTTGGAGGCTCTTGGGGCACCTCAAGGACACTCTGGGGATACTTTAGGGACATTGGGGTCCATAGGTATGTTTGTACCCCCAGCCCCAGGTGCCCAGTCCCCCCAGGTCCCTCCCAGTCCCCACCAATCTCCTCCCAATCCCTTCTCAGTCCCTCCCAGTGCTCCCAGTTCCCACCTGCCCGCTGGCACTGGAAGTCCTGGGGGTCCAGGTGGGCAAGGGGGGTCCCTTGGTGGGGGGAGGGGCTGCGGCAGCGCCCAGCAGTCTCGGGGGAGGAGGGGACTGTCCCCAGCCACGACAGGAGCCACCGCAGGCGACAATCACAGCGGAACGGGTTCCCCCGCAGGTCCCTGCACCACCAAGTGTCACCAGGTGTCACCAAAATGTCCCCAAATGTCACTAAATGTCCCCACGTGTCACCAAATCCCCCCAAATCCCTCCAAGTCCCCCAATGTCCCCCTGATGTCCCCAATGTACCCCAAAACCCCCAATGTCCCCAATCCCCCCCAATGTCCCCATGTCCCCAAAGTCCCTATACCTCCCCCAATGTCCCGAATGTCCCCAATGTCCCCATCCCCCAATGTCCCCAATGCCCTGTCCTCCAAAGCCCCCCATCCCCACAATGTCCCCAATGTCTCCAATGTCCCCAACACCCCCCGTTTCCCTCCCTGTCCCCAGTGTCCCCAGTGTCCGCACGGTGTCACTCACAGGTGGCTCAGGGTCTCCAGCCCCTGGAAGAGCCCCTGAGGCAGCGTCTCCAGGCGGTTGTTGGCCAAACTCCTGTGGGGACGTTGGGGGAACACTGGGGACATTGGGGACATTGAGGGGGACATAGGGAGAACATTGTGGGGTTTGGAGGGCTTGGGGACACCTGGGGGCACTTGGGGACATTGGGGACAGCTGGGGACAGGGAAAAGGGGGCATCTGGGGACACCCGGCGACACATGGGGACATGGGGACAGGGACACAGGGACAGGAACATGGGGACACCTGGGGACAGGAACATGGGGACATTTGGGGACATCTGGGGACATGAGGACACCTGGGGATATTTGGGGGCACCCTAATGTCCCCAATCGCCCCCAATGTGTCCCATGTCCCCCTGGTGTCCCCAGCGTCACTCACAGGAACAGGAGCCCCCGGAGGCCCCGCAGGGCGGTGGGTTCGATGGTCCCGACCTCGTTGTCCTCGATGAACCTGCGGCACCAGTTCACACCAGTTTGCATCAGTTCATACCAGTTCTCACCAGTTCACACAAGTTCAACTCAGTATCCCCCCACCCAGTCCAGCCCAGTCCCTCCCCATTGTTCCCCCAGTTCCTCCCAGCACAGCCCAGTTTATCCCAGTCCACTCTAGTCCCTCCCCAGTGTCTCCCCAGTCCACTCTAGTCCCTCCCCAGTGTCTCCCCAGTCCAGCCCAGTCCCTCCCCAGTGTCTCCCCAGTCCAGCCCAGTCCCTCCTCAATGTCTCTCCAGTTCCTCCCCAGTCCCTTCCAGTCCATTCCCAGTGCCCTCCCAATCCCCTCCCAGTCCCCCTCAGTCCCTTCCAGTCCCTCTCACAGGTACTCCAGGAACACCAGTCCAGCAAAGGCCCCGTCCCCGATGGTCCCCAAGCTCCCGGCGGTGACCAACCTGTGGGGACACCCCAGGGACGCTCTGAGGACACTTTGGGGCTATTTAGGGCCAATAAGGAGACATTTGGGGCCATTTAAGGACTCTTGGGAACACCTTGGGGACATATGCGGACATTTTGGGATCGCTTTAGGAACACTTCAGGACCATTTGGGGACTCCTGGGAACACCTTGGAGACATTTGGGAACATTGAGATAACATTTGGGGACACTCTGAAGACATTTGGGGACATTTGGAGACCCTTTGGGGACACACTGGGGACACTGAGGGGATCTTGGGGATGTCCTGGGGATATCTGGGGACATTGAGATAACATTTGGGGACACTCTGAAGACATTTGGGGACATTTGGAGACCCTTTGGGGACACACTAGGGACACTGAGGGGATCTTGGGGATGTCCTGGGGATATCTGGGGACATTGAGGTGACATTTGGGGACATTTGGTGATACTTTGGGGCCATTTGGGGCCATTGGTGACACTTTCAAGACACTTTGGGGACACTCTGAAGACATTTTGGGGACACTCTGAAGACATTTCGAGGACACAGAGGTAACACTTGGGGACACGTTGGGGACAGATTGGGGACACTGGCGTGACATTTGGGGCCATTTGGTGACACTTTGAGGACATTGGGGTCACTCACAGCAGCTGCAGGGTCGGGGTGTGGCGGAAGCTGCCCTCGGCCAGGACCTCGATGTGCCACCGAACCAGTGACCTGGGGGAACCGGGTGAACTGGGAGGGACTGGGAAGGCATTGGGGAAGACTAGGAGGACCAAACTGGGATAAACTGGAGACACAGGGGTCAAACTGGGCTGAACTGAGAGAAAGCAGGAACAACTTGGGCCAAACTGGAGTCAAACTTGGCTAAATTGGGGTAAACTGAGGTAAAACTGGGAGAAACTGGGACCAAACTGCACTAAACTGGTCCAAGTCAGTCCTAAACTGGGAGAAACTGGAGTTAAACTAGGCCGAATCAGTATCGGACTGGGCCATACTCATCCCAGCCAGCCCTAAACTGGTACTAAACTGGTCTAAACCAGCCACAACCTGGACCCAGCCCCGCCCATCCCGTGCAGGGGGTGTGGCTTAGAATGATGACATCATAAGATGGGCGGGGTCTCATTGGGGGGTCGGTGGGAGTCCCCACTGAGGGCTCATGGAAGGGGTTCAGGGGGTACCCAAAAAGCAGGAGGTCAAAGGGGAGGTCCCGGAAGGGGGTTTCCCATGGGGGAGGTCATTTTGGGGGGTCCCAGGGGTAGTTTTTTTTGGGGGGGTGTCCTAAAAGGGGGGAAGGGGGGTGCCCAAGAGGGGAGGGGTCGCCGGGGAGTTTCTGGGGGGTCTGCAAGGACAAGTCGTGGGAAGGTTCTGGGGGGGTCCCCAAAGGGGGGAGTCATCGGGGGGACTCAGGAGGGGCACCACATTTGAGGGGGTCCCAAAGGGAGGAGGGGATAAAAGGGGGGTCCTCAAAGTGGGGGGTCCCCAAATTGGAGGGGGGGTCACTCACAGTGTGGCCAGGCGGGGGGGGAGCCCCCGGGGGATCCCTCCGGCCCCCCCCCGGCACAGGGCGCTCTCCCGGTCGCAC